ATACGATTAATCAATATGAAATGATCTTAAATAAAATGAATTACTGAAAAAACAACATGATCAACCAATATGAAATGATCTTGAATAAATTAGATACTAAAAAAACAAACAAACAAACAAACAAAAAATAAATAAATAAAAACAACACGATCAACCATTATGAAATGATCTTGAATAACATGAAATACTAAAAAAAATAAATAAATAAATAAATAAAATATGATAACAGTATGAAATAATCTTAAATAACATAAATACCAAAAAATAATAATAATAATAATAATAATAATAATAATAATAATAATAATAATAATAATAATAATAATAATAATAATAATAATAATAAATAATAATAATAATAATAATAATAATAATAATAATAATAATAATAATATATAATAATAAATAATAAATATAATAATAATAATAATAATAATAATAATAATAATAATAATAATAATAATAATAATATAATAATAATAATAATAGATAATAATAATGAAATAATAATAATAAGATAATAACCCTGCCTTCGCCTTCCCCAGGTGAGCGTGATCAGCCAGGGCGGGGAGAGTCACCTGAAGTTCAAGAAGGTCGCCAAGGAGGACTCGGGGAACTACACCTGCGCGCCGGCAAATGCGGGGCCAGCGCACGTCACCCTGCACGTCATTACGGGTGGGTTTCGCTTGCTCTCTCGCTCTCTCTCTCTCTGGCTCTTGCTGTTCTTTAGCTCCTTAGTGCTTGCTCTCTCTTTAGGTATTTCTCGTTCGCTCTTTTAGCTCTTGTTCTCACTTTCTCTCTCGCTAGTTTTCGCTCGCTCTCTCTAGCTCTCGTTCTTCCAAGCTCACGCTCTTGCTCTCTCTCTCTCTCTCTCTCTCTCTTTCCTTCTCCCCCGATCCCCCCTCTCTCTCCTCTCTTTCTATCCCCCCTTCTCCTTCCCCATCCATCCGTCCATCCATTCCTCCATTCATCCACCCAACTACTCATCCATCCATCGAGGCATTCTTCTCTTTCTCTCCTCTCTTTCTCTTTTCTCGTACTCTGTCTCTTTTCTTGCACTCTCTCTCTCTCTCTCTCTCTTTTTTCCTTCTCCCCCAACACCCCCGCCCCTTCTGTTTCCCTCAGTCTCCCCCTCCTTCCCCTCCCTCATCCATCCATCCATCAAGGTATTCCTTTCTCCCTCTCTCTCTCTCTCCTTCTTTCTATCTCACTCATATATATATATATATATATATATATATATATATATATATATATATATATATATATATATATATATATATATACATGCATACATACACACACACACATATATATATGTGTGTGTGTGTGTGTGTGCGTGGTAGTGTGTACTGAAATATAAATATATTTGAAATAAAATAACATATATTTAGCATTTCCCTCCCCCCTCCCCTCCCTCCTTTCTGCCGCCGTTCCCCCCCCCCCCCCTTGTGTCCCTCAGGGGCGCCGCCCCCCGCCTGCGCGTGACGCCGCCTCTTTGTCCTTGCAGGCGAGTCCCCCGCGGCCGTCCAGCGCGCCTCCGCCCCCCTCGCCACCGCGCCTACACGGTGGCCCTGGCGGCGGGCGCGCTCGTCATCCTCACCTTGTGAGCGCCTCCTCAGATCCTTTTGAAGTCCTTCCGGGTCCCGCCGAGGATGGCTCGGGGCTCGAGGCTCCTCCCAAAGCCTTCCGTCTCGCCTGCCGGAGTCTTCGGGGATTTCCCGGGGATCCTCGCGGCTCTGCCGGGCTCCTCCCGGCCCTTCTGCAGGCATTCGCGGGCTTCTCCCGGGGATTTGCAGAGTTCATATCGGAGTCCTCCTGCCGGAGCCCTTAGATCCTGGGGATCCTAGTACTCCCCTTACGATCCTAGAGAAACCGTGGCCGCAGGCAGCGTTCGGCCGGGTCCGCGCGCGGTGCGGCGCCCTCGCCAGCGCCGCTCCGCCCGCTGCGCCGGCACGAGGCCTCCTGCGCGCCGAAGGTGCAACTAGAAGCACTCCCGCCTCCCCTTCTGTACAATCCGGTACGAAATAACTAGTGATCCTACTTGGATGTTCAAAGAACAGAAGTTTTCGAAGTGTTCTGTATCTAAGGATTTTATATTCTTACTGTTTCCACCCGCCGACCCTCGTGCGGACGTCGCGCTCCGTGTGAAAAGGACTCGGCGAATGAAGGCGGGGAATCCTGGTGTATAAGCCAGGGAAAAACTCTTGGTGAATATCACAGAAAAAGAAAATCTTGGTGAAGAAACCAGATAAAAAATATATATCTTGGTGAATGAACCAAAACAAAAATAGTGGGACCACAATATGGCAAAGCAAAGGAGAGTTGCCGGTTGTTAATAACTCAACGGAAAGTGTCGGTTGGGTATTGATGTGAAACGTCACATCGTGAAGCGAAAACGAAAAAAAAAAAGTTTTAAAAATCACTGAGATGTGAGAATTTAAAGTATCTTTGTTCTTTATGGAACGTTTGAGAAAATAAATATATTTATAAAGTATGC